ACGTGGTGCTCAAACCCACGAACTGTGAGATCAGGACCTGAGCTGAAGTTGGATGTTTAACTGACTGAGCCACCCAGGGCACCCCAGTTCTTTTCCTTTAAAAGTCTCATTTCCACAACCGTACAAAAGAGATGAAAAGTTAGGATGTGTAAAGTGCTTAGCAGAACGGCTCGGCACATAGGAAGGGTTCAGTAAATTGGTAAATGTCATCCCACCTGATCAAAAGGCAGAAGCCACAGGGCAGAATCTCAAGGTGGGAAGGATGACTGGAAGGATGGGGAGGCCACTAGCTGATACACGAGTCAACAGGAACAGATCTGAGGAAATGGAGGCCAGTTTTCCATTTGGGGCACAATGAATATGAAATAAGTCATCAAGATAGAGAAGACTGAGAGCACTGATAAAAGTAAGGTTAAAGCGGGGCGCCTGGGTGGCTTAGTCAGTTAAGCATCCGACTTTCGCTTAGGTCATGATCTCGCGGTTCATGGGTTCGAGCCCCGCGTCGGGCTCTGTGCTGACTGCCAGCTCAGAGCCTGGAGCCTGTTTCAGACTCTGTGACTCCCTCTCTCTCTGACCCTCCCCTGCTCACGCTGTCTCTCTCTCTCTCGCTGTCTCTCTCTCGCTGTCTCTCTCTCTCTCTCTCTCTCCTAGAAATAAATAAAACGTTAAAAAAAAAAAAGTAAGGTTAAAGCTGCTTTTATTATTTATTGAAGGGGGCTCATGTAGGAAGATAAGTGTCATTTTTAAAAATGTTTATTTTGAGAGAACATGAGCATGTGAGTGTGTGAGCAGGGGAGGGGCAGAGAGAGAGGGAGAGAGAATCCCAAGCAGGCTCCCTGCGTATAGCGCTCGGAGCCAGACATGAGGCTCGATCTCATGACGGCGAGACTATGACCTGAGAAAGATTATGATACCAAGAGTCAATGGCTTTTAACAGACAGAGGCACCCAGGCTCCCCAAAAGAGCTATGCAATTTAAAAAAACCTGAAGTTAAAAAGAACTAAAGAAACATCCTGTGAACGTAAAATAATGACAAAGAATAATTACAAACACATGCCTTAAGCCAAAATGAATACTGGGTCAAAAATGACATCACACAAAGGCCACCACACTGAGTGGGAGGGGCATCTCCGTCACACAGGACACAGGGTCCTTTGTACTGTTGCTGGTGGCACAGAGGGCAGAACCATTGTTCCCTTGTCTTCCTCAGATGGACACCACAGGTGGAAGCACCACCATCAGCTCTTTAGGCTGGATGTCCCAAATCTAGGATCCCAGGAATCTGGGAACTTGGGCCTTCTCAACGTCTCAGTAGGCGGAGTGTGAGTTGAGACTTCACAACATCCGAGGAGGGACCAGTGAGTAGCAGACGAGATGAAGAGACATTCAATCTGAGCCTTTCCTGAGAGAAATGTGGCTCAAGCCTTCAATGCTGGCTCATCACGCCCAATCCCCCCAGGCTCACATGGTTCTCTGCCAAACTCTCTTTGCTCCGCTGCAGCAATTCCCCTGGATGCCCTGACCTACACCAAGGAAATGTTACGCTTGTATGTGCAGGTTCCCATAATAAGCTTACTTAATAAATGTGTTTCTCAGTGTGGAGGTTCCTCAAAAAATTAATAGAGCTCCCCTATGACCCAGCAATAGCACTGCTAGGAATTTACCCAAGGGATATAGGAGTGCTGATGCATAGAGGCACATGTACCCCAATGTTCACAGCAGCACTCTCCACAATAGCTAAAACATGGAAAGAGCCTAAGTATCCATCAACGGGCGAATGGATCAAGAAGATGTGGTTTATATATACAATGGAATACGACTTGGCAATGAGAAAGAATGAAATCTGGCCATGTGTAGCAATGTGGATGGAACTCGAGGGTGTTATGCTGAGCGAAATAAGTCAGGCAGAGGATAGATACTGTATGTTTTCACTCATATGTGGATCAGGAGAAATTTAACAGAAGACCATGGGGAAAGAAAAGGGAGGGAAAAAAAAGTTACAGAGAGGGAGGGAGGCAAGCCATGGGAGACTCTTGAATACTGAGAACCAAATGAGGGTTGATGGGGGTGGGGGGGAGGGGAAAATGGGTGATGGGCATGGAGGAGGGCACTTGTTGGGATGAGCACTGGGTGTTGTATGGGAACCAATTTGACAACCTATATTATTAAAAAAAACCACCTGTGTTTGTACTGTAAATGGCTTTTTAAAACGCATGTGCAAGTTTTAGGTGGGATAAAACGAAATTGGAGTCCATTATGCTGTTTTGAGCCAAACTCTTCATTCTGAAGCAGCAGCTGTTGGTGCTAATTAGGATCACATTGATGGGTGGATAGCGCTAAGACTCTTGCCTTGATGTAATTTCTTCTGGGTTGGCCAAAGACAGCCTCCCTCTTCTGATGTCTGGGCACTCCAGTCAGCAAAAGGCATGCGTGGGCTTCTGGGCAGGTCACACATCTGGCTGGCTTCCAGAGTTCAGAGTCATTTGGCAGAAAACTTGGCCAGTGTGCAGGGACACTTTTAAGTGAATTCCATGGGTGTGGAGACATCCTTGCAATGCCTCCTTTTTCCTTCCCTTTTAGAACGTGCATCTGAGCTGCCAAAAACCCGTTTTACACAGCCACAGGCACAGGGTCGGTGCACATTAGAGGTGAAGGTGGGGAGCGCTGCACCGGCCTCGCTTGCACTTGATGCTGGCAGCCTTCTGCCATGACTCTCTTGATATCTCGGCAAAGACACCTGTCCTCTCCCCTGCAGGACATTACAGACTGTCTCCCCATAACCAGTAGCCATAGTGTTTAATGATATTTAAGCCCGTTTCCAGACAGGCTGCAAAAGCTTCACAGCTTCTTTTAAAAATGGAAATGTTTTTAGAGTCTCATTAGTTTTCCTTTATCACAAAAGCTCAGTCTGCACAGCAGGATTTTTTTCCCCCCTTGAATGATGAATACTTCAAATACAATCCATCCCTCTGTGGGGAAAACAACTTTAATGGTTAGTCTATAAAGATGGTCTTGGAGATCGTTACTAAGAAGTATTGCTGAATAACAAACCGAGAGTGAAGAGGAGAGACAAATGAAATGAGGTGTGGTTTGGGGAAGCAGTCAAACGAAAGTATTTAGGGCCAGAACAGAGTAATTAAAAAGAAAATGGGTGGGGCAAAATGGGCGGGAGGGGCCAAGTTTCTTGCATTCTCAGGAGACAGTAAGACAGGGTGGAGGGCAGGGACAAGGACACAGACTTGGGGAGGCGATGCTGTGTATGATGTTTGTGTTGGAAGAAGGTACAGGAAGGGGTGGGCAAGTCCGTTGGTCTTAAAACTCTTCCGTGTGACTGGGCATTCTGGAAATCTGACCAGCTTGTTCAACGGAAGCTGTCTGTAGGGCGGACAGACCACATGCGAGCTGAAAGGTGTAAGCTCCCCGTTCCCTCTGGCCCAGAACACCGACTCAAAACTCTACATGGGCTGCCCCTTGGTGGGTCCATTTGCAGAGCTGGTGCTGAGCGGAACATCCAAGACCTTGGAATAACGATCCGGGGAGGGTGGTCGAGATGAAAAAGACGGAGGCGCTCTCATCAGCGAAGTGACTAAGAGCCGTACGTACAGGCATGGGAACAGCAGAGGTAATGACTGCAGACTGCAGAACAGAGGAGAAGAGGGTCACATGCTAAAGTTGGATCTTTTAAAAATTTTTTAAGATGCTTATTTTTGAGAGCGAGCAAGCAAGGGTCAGAGAGCGGAAGGCAGAGAATCCCAAGGAGGCTCTGCACTGTCAGCGCACAGCCCGTCGCAGGGCTCAATCTCACGAACGGTGAGATCACAACCAGAGCCCAAACCAGGAGCCAGATGCTTGACCGAGCCAGCCAGGCACCCCTCCGTGGGGTCATTTTCATCCAGACATCACAAGCCCCCCACAGCGGGGTTGAGAGGACTCCATACTCTGCAGGGGTAACTATGGAGGCAGCTTCTGTGCAGCCTGGGTGATGCTGTGAGTCAGGAAAAGCCACAAGGCCAGACCCACAGGGAACCCCGAGAGCGAAGGGATGTCCTGTCTGTGGTGCAGTTGGAGGGCCACGCAAACAAGATCTTCTCTGAGGCTCCTAGACAGACCCTCAAAATCAGCACTTCCCTCTCCCTGACCATGAGTGCCATTTTCCATACCACCACCATTATTCGACGCAGGGCTGGAAAATCAGAGAGGAACGCACGAGTAACTGAGATGTCCCACTCGCCTTCAGGGGTCAGTGAGACTGCCGCCAGGCCTCTTCCCATTCCTCACACCTCTTAAGAGGATCAACTTAGTGTGACTCTTCTGGGCACAGAGCTCCCAGGACCAGCATTTCTTCAGTTGAGTTTATAAAGAACACTAACGAGCTATACCCAAAGAAATCGCCGAGGCAGATTCTCAGGGATAAAAATCTCCCCTCCCATCTGTCTCATGTAATCTCCCTTGGGATGGAGTAAAATCGCAACTGCCTATTAAAAGTGCACCATGGGGGCACCTGGGTGGCTCAATCAGTTATGCGTCTGACTTCATTCAGCCCAGGTCATGATCCTGCAGGTCCTGAGTTTGAGCCCCGCGTAGGGCCCTGTGCTGATGGCTCGGAGCCTGGAGCCTGTTTCGGATTCTGTGTCTCCTTCTCTCTCTCTGCTCTGCTCCCACTCCCACTCTGTCTCTCTCTCTCTCTCTCTCAAAAATAAACATTAAAAAATAAAAAAAAAAAAAAAGGACACCTTGGACATAAAGCAACAACCATATGCAAAACAGCCGAGCACACAGAGCTCGGCAGAGGTGGGGTTTAGGAACGTTAGGAGCTCAGGTTTGTTTGGCTCTATTTCCCTTGGCCTAAGATGCTCTGATTTTATCAGCACTGAAACACTAAAAAATACATATGTGTGAAACAAGTTGTAAAGCTGCCACCTGAAGCCAAACTGTGTATCTGCATGGCCACGTGAGTGGGAAGGGTCCCTAGGTACAATGACCTCAGAGTCAAAAGGGTATTTACTCAGATGTGGGCAAATGTCACTTTAATTGTAAATCCTTCATTTACAGCACACTCAACAATGAACAAACAGGAGAGCTGTGACTTTTGAACACATGAATATCCGTCCCTTGAAATTCAGAGAGTTGAGACACGAGCATTTCACAAGAAAAGCACCCCTCTTCATTTTTCTGAAGACCGTCTTATGTTTTAAAGATGACTAGGCTTACTCGGAATCTCAAAACAGTACGATGTACCTTGCAGGGAGAGAAGAAAACCTTTTCTCATACTATCAGGCAAATACTTAGTGAAAAGGGTCCTGGGTGGAGATGGGAAGCCAGGAGGAAGGGAGCACCAGATATCATGCAGAACTAAACAAATCATCTCCACCTCTCTAACACGGATGGGACACGCCACTCCATGGGTCCCGAGGTGGGGTGTGTAAGGACAGCCATCAGAGAGTGGCTGCTGTCGCTGGCTGTGGTTGTTGGAGGGTCTCAAATTAGCCCGTGGACAAAATCCTTAAACAGCAAATACAAACTGTCACAGACTGGAAGTCAAAAACAATCTTAAGGAAGGTCTTGTTTTATTTATATAGATATGGACTCCTATTTACCTAATTAGAGCAATGATTACACCGTGACCTTCCCGTTCCAGAAGGGTTTGTTCAAACACTGGAATGGCTTAAGAAAAGCATCGTCTAGTTTCGACTTTATTTTACACTTTGAAAAGAGACAGAGGGAAGACAGAGAAAAAGTATAACTAATTCCCCCCAGACTCTGGGGCCCAGCAGGTACAGAACCAGACTTCTCTGACTCCAGGTTCACTCATGCTGCCGGGAAGTTTCAATGTCTAGGGAATCCCAGGGAAGACGAAGAAAGCCCGCTGTGCCCCACCCCTACACAAAGAATTCTACAGTGAGTCTATCACAGTGCTTTAGCTGAAGCATATCTAAAAACTAAAGAGGGTTTCAACTGAACATCTAAATTTTAAAACCGTAGCATTCCGGCAACAAATAAGCTCAGAGAACTCGTCCCAGAAGTGAAATGAAAGAAGTATTGCTCTGACGTCTGAAAACCAAGCCTCTGCCTCAGCTCTGCCCCACACTCAGGCTTAGGCAGACACATAAGGGGGCGGCGGCTCCTTGGACGCGCCATTCATAGTGGCATCATCATATGGGGGTAACAGCACCTGAGAACAAACAGGGAAGACGAGGGTTAGTGTGTAAAAGTGCACATACATTCCCCTGAGCTTTAGCTTTAAAGGACCTTTCGTGCAATTAAACGTTTACCATACCTGGTACCAAAGATCAACTTGCCAGCAAGTGGCTACCCTTTGATGACATTTTCTTAAGGAAGAAAATGGGAAGAGGCTTTTGACCCTTGTGTCGGTTTCCCTCACCCTGTTCACGTGTGCCTGGAGGGCCATGGGATTGTCTCTGGGTCTAGAAAGCTGGCGACCATGGCTCTCCAGAGGACAAAAGGCTTCTGGGTAATATCTACATGTATACACCAATTGGCACAGGCCCCTAACTGACCACAGAAGCCACGCTCATGGTGAGATCAGCCACAGTTTACCAGCACAGCCCTGGTAAGTTACTTAGCCTGAATTTCTACATCTGTAATAGAGGGATCCCCGAGAATTAGAGGTCTATAAAATACCCAACACTGCTTGATGCACACCTGAGATGGTCGATATCATCTGCAAATGGCTGAAGAGAAACAAACAAGAACAAGCACTCCTGCTGATGGACAACCTTTCTGTTCACATTTCAAGTACAAAACCAAGTGCTTAACTGTTCACAAGCTGTCAACCTAAGAAAATGCCGACTGATTTTGGAGTAAAAAACAAACAAGGGAAGAGCAACTCAATAGAATTAGCCTTTATTCAATCCACTAACACTTATTATGTCCCTACTGCATGAGAGGCATTGTGGGTACAAGATAATTAAGATAAAAGACAGTCTTAGGAATTGAGAGATGAGAAGAACGAGAACCTTACCCACCCCAAGTGCTTTGTGGAGAGAGAAAGAATACTCACAAATGGAACCAAACCAAACAACATTAGGGACATCACTTACTTAAACTGAAAGCAGTAAATGTAAAAGTCAATTTCTTGCCTTTTCATTTATTTATCCCTTCAGCTTCCAGAGGGAGAGCATTAACATTTTCTTTTTAAGTTTTCTGTTTTAAGTTTTCATCACACCCCATTTCCCCAATACCACCACATATGCACACACTTGCTCCTCTCTTAACATACCTGACTGCTCATTTTTCTCTTCCTCTGGTCTGGGAGCACCTCCAGAGTTGTAGCCCTGTCTCGCTTAACCCCAGCGATGGCCCCAGGCCCTATTCGCTAGTAGGAACTCAGATGCATGTAGACTAAATGATGGAGGCATCCCTGGGGCTGGCCCTAGAGAGTCTGTATGGGGGGGTCAGAGGGGAAAGTGCAGCCAGACCTTGTAGGCAGAGGATGTCTACATGGCCTAGAGGCCAATTAGAAGACTGGATACCACCCCGTCATTTGAACAGAAAACATTTCAGGGGCACCTGGGTGGCTCAGTTGGTTAAGCATCTGACCAGTTCAGGTCATGATCTCACCGTTTGTGGGTTCGAGCCCCACGTCGGGCTCTGTGCTGACAGCTTGGAGCCTGGAGCCTGCTTTGGATTCTGTGTTTCCCTCTCTCTGCCCCTCCTCTGCCCTTGCTCACACTCTGTGTGAGTGTGTGTGTGTGTGTGTGTGTGTGTGTGTGTGTCTGTCTCAAAAAATAAACATTAAAAAGTGTTTGAACAGAGAAAACTTTATAAAGAGTCATTGACAGAGGACTGGAAGTGAAACAAGTAAAATCGGGCACGATTGATGCATGGGTACAAAGATGATGTTAAAGAACACACAGGAAACACTACGTTAGGCCTCTCGGGAAGATACGTGGATCTGGCCCAGAGAGAAGAGAAGGCACTGCAGGTAGACCGGTAAGAGCACCAGCAAAGGGAGGAAGCCTGAATGTAGAGTACCTTCTGGGGGCACAAGGAAAGACGGAGAAGGGTCAGAGCATGACCTGAGCCCTGTCTGCCACCCGAAGGCACTTTACTTAGTACCTGGCAGCAGCATCCTGACCAGGGATCCTCAAGGTCTTGCCTTGACGGGAGAGAAAAGTGTACTCTCTACAACAAAGCCACAGCTCTGCTCCCTGCGTCTGCACATTGGTGTGTGCGTGTGTGCACATTTGATGTGGGAACTTAAACCAGTGGCAACAGCCGTGACCGACACCAAAAACATTACATTTTCCAGGACGGAGCTTCAGCATGAGGCTCCTCGGCCTCATTAAACACTGAACTGATTCCTATCTATCATTATTCTTGAAGAAATGATCCTAACACACGGTGGAACTACTAAAAGGGGAATGAAACCAAGCCATTTCATCCAATTTATTTTCTTTCCTGAGCACAATACAACACTCAGATTCTCCAAAAATGTACACTGAAGATTAAACATGAAATTAAAAAAAATTTTTTTTAATGTTTATTTAATTTTGAGAAAGAGAGACAGGGCAGGAGTACAAACACAGAGACATTACAAATTACAAGGGGCAGAGAGAGAAGGAGACACAGAATCCAGAGCAGGCTCCAGGCTCTGAGGTGTCAGCACAGAGCCCAATGCGGGGCTTGAACCCATGAACTGTGAGAGCCGAAGTCACCAGTTAACCAACTGAGCCACCCAGGTGCCCCTGAAATTCTTTTTAAGAAAGAAAAAAAGTACTGTAACTTTGCCTTTTGTCAAAATATACTCACTTTCACATGAAGTTTGGCAGTTTGTCACTATTTCTTTTATCGTTAAACTTGTTTTATTACTATGTATTTATTTTGAACGAGACATAGAGAATGTGAGGGGGGGAGGGGCAGAGAGAGATGGAGGATCCCAAGCAGGTTCTGCATGCAGTCAGGGCTCAAACTCACGAACCATGAGATCATGACCTGAGTCAAAATCAAGAGTGGGACTGAGCCACCCAGGTGCCCCTTCAAACTTGTTTTAAAGTTTCACTTTACATCTGTATCTTATCCCAATATTGGCCTTTTGCCTCAAACATTCTATTGCCTTGGACTCTTTTTATCCAAAGTCTAGAGGCCTGGTGATGAGTTTGCCCTTTCACTAGGGCTTGTGACAGCCTCGTCTGTCTTTACTTCCCCACAACCACGTAGTAAATGCTGACTGAACACAGTCTTCACACAGTACCCTCATGCTCTCTTCACTGAAAGTCATCCAGATGGAATAAGTTTTACATTTTGAAGAGACAGTATCATTTTTTTTTAAAAAATCTAAATTATGTTAGTATTATTGATAGATTCAAGGAAGAGCTGGTGACAGGGGACGGCCATACTGTATTATAGTTTGTCAATACTGACTAAAAACACCTCCTGGTGTCCTTTTCTACTAAAAATCAAGGAAGTACTTAGAAATCTGAGAAAACAACTGTAGAGTCAATTAAGATAGAACATGCCAAATAAGACACCATGTAACAAAACTGGTTGAAATCCAATTATTTTGACATTTCTAGAAGATGGCTTTTAGCTAAGCTCGGTCTTTCAGTTTTAAAAATTTAGTCATTCACAATGAATGACTAAAAAAATAATCTCTGAGGACTAAGAATATAGGTCATGTCCTACTTCAAACTAAAGTCATTGCCTGCTGAACAGCAGCTGCTCAATGAGTAGACAAACACAGAGACATTACAAATCTCAACCACAGAGAACTTCAAGCAATATTCAATACAATGAAATTCTAATCTAAGTACAGTCCCTTGGAGTTTGTCTTAATAGGAGCTCAACCACAAGTGACTGTGTGATAGTGTAACTTTCTTCCACGCAGATGGGAAAATCCTCCTTGCCAGTGACTCCAGAAGGCAGCTGTTTGATAGGAAGAATAGAGTCTGTCTGTGGTGTCTCTTTAGTTGGGCGTTATCTTGCTAGGTTACCGCGTGCTTGTGGGAAAGCAGCTCCTTGGTCGTTTCGGTTCAACTCCACAAATACATCAATATATAGAACAGTTAGAGGGAGAAATAAATTAACATCAAAGGTTGCAAAATGTAACATAGAAGTGATTCCAACTGGCCATGAATCCACAAGTCATTAAAACTTGGTAAACGAATTCATTCCATCAACTACTAAGAGATGATAAAATGGGCAAGAGAAAAAAACTATTGGTAAAAACAGATGTATGGGTACTATGGTTAGATTTGGACTTCCACCATAAGAATAGAGCTTAGGCATTAAAAGCTTATTTGGAACTCTAGAGCTGCCAGCTTTACACTACCCACCCACCCCGGAAAGTATTATATGTAAGTTATATACAGGTCTTCAGACATTCACAAAATTACACGCCCAATTTTGTGTTTGTGCAATTACTTTCCTAGGAAGAGTTGTCAAAGCTTTCATCGTGTTCTCAAAGAATCCTCCCCGGAGTCTGGCTGTCAAGACCAGAGGTCAGTATGAGGACCAGGTAAACTGAGCCAGAAGGCTGCTTGCTGGTCCCTGCATCCTAATCGGCAAGGTAAATTAAAATGAAACCAGTGACCAGGACGATGGCTGTGCGACGCCTGTCCACCCTGGGGCAGGGGGAGGAGACGCTCTAGGAAAGAAAGAGAACTAGGGCACCTGGGTGGCTCAGCTGGTTAGGCGTCCAACTTCAGCTCAGGTCATGATCTCACGGCTCATGGGTTAGAGCCCCGCATTGGGCTCTGTGCTGACAGTCAGCTCAGAGCCTGGAGCCAGCTTCTAATTCTGTGTCTCCCTCTCTCTCTGACCCTCCCCTGCTCACACTATCTCTCTCTCTCTCTCAAAAATAAGTAAAACATTTAAAAAAAATTTTTTAAAAAGAAAGAGAATTAACAGATGGCCTTATAGGGTCAAACATCTGGAAAATAATATTAGTAGGTGGTTGACAGATCTAATAGCCACACAGAAAGGATGGGGGCTTAGGTAACAAGCAAAACACATGGCAGCTGAAAAAACTAGGCAAATGTTTGCTGGGAAGAAACAAAAATTATACAAGAGAATGCACCACGGAGCTCCGCGCTGAACACATACACGTACGTGAAGATGCACATACAATGCACATCGTCCACCGTAAGCACTGACTGAGGGCGGCACCAGAAAATCTGTTATTACAGTATGAGGAGGACTGTGAGGAACATG